TAGAAAATCACTGTCTTGACGAGGCGAGATCTGTAAGAACAAGAAAGTTCTAAATTATAATCACATAGTTGGAGTGGAAGATCTAGTAAGAGTTGTCCACTACAGAGGGATCTGGATTTTGGAAGGTTCTATTCTACCTTCTTCTCCATGATAACTTATTTATTTTAAAATTATGTATTCATTCATCAAACATTTACCTAGTCAGAGTAGATTCTGCCCTTTGGAGAAGGTCAATAGTTTAACTGGCAGTAAACCTTTACTATTGTTTCTTTCTCAAGGGCGAGAAAAAGAATCATTTGCATAGAAAAAAAAAATAACCTTCCGGGTCCAGCTGATAGTACCTTTCCTTAATCCTGTGCTCCAGAAGTGACCTGAAATTCACATATGTGAATTCTTCCCTCTCCCAGGAAGATATAATAGGAATCACAGTCTTAATCTCAAATTAGAGTTTTCACCCTCTTTCCCTCCCCCTCCCCATTCACATACTCCTCAGAGAGCTGCCTTGATGGCTCAGTGAGGTAGTGTTTCAGTTTCAGGGCCTCAGATAGGAAACAGACAACACAACCTGAAAGAGTCATTTGAAGAAGGGTTAGTAAAGGGACTATTTAGAAAAGTGAGGCAGGGTTAAGGAATCAATAAGAGATGAGGAGTCCCTAAGGTTTAGGAATAGTGGGAAGCCATTCCTATTCCTACCCTCTAAAGAGAAAAGGGGATGGGAATGGCAGCTGGAGGCCAGGGCTGGAGAACATGAACTATGACCTTCAGTAAAGGAAGGCAGCCGCTGCCAAACTGCTGTCCTTATGGAGGAAGCCCTGGTTTTTCCTCCAGATCTCTGGGCTAGTTCCCTACATTGGCAGACCCAAGAGAATATGGGTGATACAGTCCATAGAGGTCAGCCTTCTGGTGAAGATAATGGGGTGTCAGTGGGCAGAGCGATCTGGAAAATTCACTGGAGAATGACTAGCACAAATGCTAAGTTTCAATGAGATAGGAGCAAACATATCAGAATGGAGGTGTGGGGCAGGGAATGTGTATAGTTAAAAAAAAAAACCCACTCAGAGATTCTAGAAGAATATAGTCTCATCATCCTCCCCCAAAAGGTCGAGTAACACTGATCAAAATAAGTAAAACTGCAGCGAAATAATGTCAAATAAGCTAGCTGATTGGGTGGATCATTCAAATATTTGTTAATTAGTCCTTCGTCAACCATCACAGAGGTATTTGTACCTCTAGGCATCAAGTATGCAAAAATGAATTAGATACTTCTGTATGTTTGAAATTTTTTATAATAAATGTTGCCTTAATGGATTACACAGGTTCACTGACTTTGAGAATCCAACAGATTGGACCAGCAAGGTTTCCTGGAGGAGTGGACAGCTCAGCTGACTCTGGGCTAGTCAGATAGGAAAGAGCCAGGAAGAATGCTCTGGAGGGATGTTGAGAGATGGGAGAGTGGGGGGAGATGAGCTATAGAGGTATAAATCAAAGTTCAGGTTTGCATTGTCAGGTGTGCATTTTAGAAAAACCCCTTGATCATCACAGCTAAGGCTGAATTGGTGGAGGAAACCAGACAGAGATTTGGTGGGGTGGGGGGAGAGGTATGAGCATTGGCCATGCATGAAGCCAGGATCTGAACAATAGCAGGAGATCCAAAGATGAAGAGGGACAGATCAAGTGATAATCATGAGGAAGAATTAATGGGACTCAGGAACTGAAAGGCTGCGTGTGGTGTGAGGCAGAGGCAAGATGCTTCGGTGCTGTTTGGCTTCTCGTCATCCCCCTGTTTTTTCACCTAACAGCGTCCCAGTTTTTCTTTGAGAGCACAGCTGCTTACCTGCCCAACTGAGTATAGTTTCCATGGAACCGTTATCCACACATTCTTGTCTTCTTTGACTAAGAGGACGATTACATGACCTAAGCCAGGCCAGTCTTTCCCTCTTGGGAATGTGGATACCTTGGGCTTGGGCTTGATCCTAGATCCAGCCTTGATTTGTGTCTTTTTTAAAGCTTCCTGCTTTAGTTTCTTCCTCCTTAATTTTGTATGCTACCCAAAGACTTTCTTTAAAAGTATTACTTTTTTACTTCAATCAGTTATTTTCTATTGTTGCAACCAGAAAACCTCAACTAATTATAGTGGCAATGTAAATGGTGGTGCCTTTTCCTGAGAGACAGAAAAGAGGTAGAGGAGAAAATTTGAGGTGGGTTTCTTGGTGGGCAGTTTGCTTTTGAGAAGCCTCTAGAAAACCAAAGGGAAGAATCCAAAAGTTTGCCCCAGAGGCTTATGTGGAATCTGAAAATCACACCACAGAGTGTAAAAGCCATCTCTAGCAGTTAAACATAAAAAGTCCTACCCAACAAACTGACCTCCGAAGGACTTACTCATCTTACTCATGCTCCTCTGGGAAGAGTAATGCTTCCATGTAGAGGCTGACATATTCTAAAGATGCCTCAGAATTAGTGGGGGAAAGTGGATAGAGCCTAATTCTAGGCACTGGGAGCCCTGGGTCTTGGCTCTGGTTCTTTCACTAATTAGCTTGATAAACTTGTACCAGTGCCCTTCCCTCTCTGAGGCTCAGTTTGTGTGTTATTGAATACAGGGGCTGATTGATATTGGGTGGTCTCCAAAATATTCAAAAGAATTTTAAGTTTACATGTAAACTGGGAAACTGGGTTCAAAAAACCTTAAACCAGTTTCCTTACTACAAGACTTCTCAGGGTCATAAATATGCTCATCGGAGATGCAGATCTCCAAGAGAGGTGAAAGTGAGCATTTCTCACCTTGTTTTTGCCCAAGATCACCCCCCACCAACATTCTTGAAGAAACATGTAGAACTAGTAGTCGTCAGAACACACATGCAGAGATTTTGGATTAGGTGGTAGCTAAGATTGTTCCACTTACACTCCCTGATTCTGTATGGCTGGTGTCCTGTGTACCTCCTGTTTTCCCCACTTGTCCCTTCCTCCGGGATGATGGACTCCCAGGCTCTGTTCTAAAGTGTTCTCCCAAGGAAAAGCAAGTACGCTTGAATGCCTATGAAGTCACTTAAAGATCTAGTCAGACTCATGAAATCCCCCATCAGCTTAAATGGAAAACACAGTCCTTGCCCCCCCCCCTCCCTTCGCCCCCGCCCATTGTACTGTGCTCAGAGCTCAGACCCAGGCCCAGCCTAAAGGGATTGCAAAACATGCTCTAGCGTGGACTTGGGAAAACAAAGAAAACTCTACTCTTTTCTCCTCCAGACAGTCTGAGACGCTTTTGTGCCCTTGGGCTTTTGCCCAGTTCTCTCATCTGCCTCAGTCCTGGTACTAAATTGGTTCAAGGTTTGGAGGAAAGTTTCAGAGGAAAGGATGTTTAGAGTTCTTAGAAGCTGAAGTCACTCTATGGACCAGAGCATAGACCACCTATGGCCACCAGAGGGCGATGACAACAGCTTCGTGTAGAAAGCTGCTCCCAAGAATAACAGCAGTAAATTACACCTAATGTGTTTATGAATGATGGAGGGGCTGAAGTGTGTGCGACTATACATGTATGTGCAGTTGGATGCCTGCAGCTATGATTCTGAAAACATGCTAAATAGAATGAAATAAAAGCTGCGCCTCTACTATATATTCACAGGATATGGCCAAGTCGTTGAAAATTTCCTTGAAGGAAAATGAGGTAGAAGGAATTAGAATAGCATTCATAATTGTAATTGTGGTATGCGTGATTGTGTGTGGTGTGAGAGTATGCATATACACGTGTGTATTTGAGTGTGAATGTGTAGATGGATGTGTGTGTGTGAGCCTGAGTGTAAGCATGCGTGTGCACAAGTGTGTGTGCACACGTGTGCACACGTGCACACGCATGTTCAGGGCTCATTTAGACTTTGCCAGTATGAGCAGACTTCAAGGAAGTCTGGGCAATGTTTCCTACAGTTCCTGCCCTCTCCCTCCAAACAAACAAACAAAATCATTCCTACAAGTATTTATGGAGCCTCTAACACACGCGCCCCTCCCCACCAGCATCTGGAAAAGCTCAGACCTGGCCAATTTAGAGCGCTATGGAAGAATGAAGGCTCTGGGGGCTGAAGGGATGCCTCACATGCGAATGACTGTTTTGCAAAAAACACTTTCTCTTCTTTGATGCTCAAAACATCCCAGTGAGGTGTGCCCAGACAGAGCTGTGGCCCCTTGCTTTGAGGAAACCAAGGCTCAGAGGTGATGTGATTGGCCCAGAGTCATCCAGTCAGGAAGCAGAAGCTGACTATGAACAGGCATTGTCAATCCAGGGGTCCAAGTCCCTGCCATCACTACTTTGAGCAGCACAGCTGGCACTGGGTCTAGGCAGAGCAGGACATGTCTCCGAGTAGGGGTTGACAGCAGCGACCTAAACAACACGGACAACCATTTTATGTGACACATGTGACTGTGAAGTGTGTTAGTATCAATACAATAGGTCCTTTAGGAAGAACTTGGGGATCTTTGCCAAGATGAGGTAGGATCTTTGCCAAGGTGAGGTAGGATCTTTGAGGATCTTTGTAGATGAGGTAAGGACGAAGCTCCTATCGGCTGTGATGTAAAATATGAGTGAATGTGAGTGCTGCGGTTTGGGGTACCTAGCAGCTGTGTGGCCTTGGGCAAGTCACTTGACTTCTCTGAGCTTTATTTCATCTGTAAAACACGGTACTCAGATGCCCCCTTGCGGGACGCTGTTGGAATGGAAGGAAGGAATAGGAGCAGAGTGCCTAGCTCAGTGCCAGAATAAAGAAAAAGTGCCACCAGCGAGAACAATCCTTAGCTCCTTAAAAGTTAATGGATCTCAATTCTGGGGCCCTCCTGGCGAAGCCCCTTTCCTTCCCTCATCTCCTGCCTCCTCCCCTCCACGCTCTCAGTTGCTCCAGCAAAGTTCCCAACTTAGTTGACATGACGCGCGGCTCAGCCAATGGGAGGCGGAGCTGGCGGTTTTGGGGGGGCGGGAGGGGTGGGCCCCGCGTCTCCGGTGTCTGCCCTGCTCAGTGAATGGAGAGAGCGAGCGCCGGCCAGCTCACCCGGCTGCCCCGTGCCCCAGCCGCCGCCGCCGCGCTCCCGAGCTCAGACTCAAGCCGGACCTCCCCAGGCGCCGTGCCCCAGTGCGCTCGTCCTCAGGTCCCCGACCCGGCCCACGCACTGGGCTGCGGGCCACCGGGGCCAAGAGGCGCTCGGCACCTGGGCACTCCGAGCGATGCGCAGCGGGGCAGCGCCGGCCTCGCGGATGGAGCTGCTGCTGCCGCTACCGCCGCCGCCGCCGCCGCCCGGCGCGCCCCGCTCCGCCCGCGCCCCGTGCGCCTGAGCGCCGAGCTCGCTCCTCCTCCGCGCCAACTCCGCCGCCGGCTCCCCAGGCCGCTCGGGCTCCGCGCGCGCTTCCCCAGGCTCCACGCGTCTTGCCCCGCCGAGGCAGCCTCCTCCAGGCGCGGGCCCCTGCACACCATGGCCACCGGGCGGACAGGGGCCGGCGCCGCCGTGCGCGCCCGCCTGGCGCTGGCCTTTGCGCTGGCGAGCGTCCTGAGCGGGCCCCCAGCCGCCGCCTGCCCCACCAAGTGTACCTGCTCCGCCGCCAGCGTGGACTGCCACGGGCTGGGCCTCCGGGCGGTTCCCCGGGGCATACCCCGCAACGCCGAGCGCCTGTGAGTACCTCCGCCCCCCCCAACCCGGGCCACCCACCTGGGTCCATAGTGGGGCCCCAGGCACCAGATCTTTCCTTTCCCTTTGGCCGCACTGGATGCAGTCTCTGCTGTCACCCTCTCCTGGGTCGGATCTTTCCTTCTCTGAGTTGGGGTCTCTGGCGTTGGGCACGTCTAGAGAGAGGTCTTGAAGCCCACCGGGATGGGCAAAGAGCAGTGCTTCTCTAAGGGTGAAGGCTCCAGACGTAGGGCCCGGTGACAGCTTCCAGCAGAACGCTGGCAGGAAGCGAAGGGAGTAGACAACACTGCAGCCAGCGAGGTCTTAGGGTGAGAGCATGGGGTCTGCGCTCATGAAAGAAGGGAGGCGAAGGAGAAAGCTGAAGGGTGATGGGGCGTCAGGGCACGGAGAGGGGAGAGGGCCGAGACTGTGACCAGCTTGGAGATCAGAATGGGCCACTTTCCGGCTGCCCTTGCGAGCGAAGTTGGGTGTGTGTGTGAAGGTCTAACTTCGGAGGAACCAAACGAATTCAGAGTGGGTGCTTGCAAAACCCGCCCTGCCTGGAGTGCAGTCTCAGAGATGCCAAGTTGCAGCCCGGGTGAATTTTTTATGGCTCGGTTATAAATGCCTCCCCAAACGGGCCGGAGAATGGAAATGCTGACAGCCCTTTAAATGAGAACGAGCGCTATAATCTTACAAACCGCACTCAGCCTCGGATCCAGGGTTTGGCAGCGAGAGGAGAGGCGTTTGGAGAGTGGGGTGGATTGACCCTCGTTTTAACCCCAATTGTGCAACCAAATATTTACTTTTCATATGTCAACGTTTTGGAAACATTTATCATTTTGATCCTCGGACCAAACTCAAAACTTGGACTCCGAGGGTGGGCTCTTCCCAGCCCGCAGTTGGGGAGTACGGAAGGAGGGAGAAATGGTGGAGGGGGTTGGAACCAGCCTGGGAACACAGCCCAGAAGTGGGTGAGGGTTTGCTCCAGTGTAATAGACTTCTCCACGTCTTGCTCTCTTTGTGTCTCCCTTCCCCACGTGTCTTAGGGGTAGGTGCGTGGGTATTCCGTTCTGCCTTCTTGACTTTAGGCTGGCAGAGAGAGAGTGGCATGAGACTAAGTGGATTGTCCTGGAGTGTGTTATTCCTGTTGATCACGTCCTGTCACCCCACTCTCTTCCTCAAACTCTATGTGTCCCTGGGCAGAATCTCAAAGGTACTACCTACCTTTTCCCTGGAGCTTTCCTGTGGCTCAAAACATCTTTTTTTCAAGTGCGTTGATTATTCTGTGTGGTCATGAAATTCTAGAGGGTTGGAGCTGAACCTTCGTTAACACATGTAGAAAAGGTTCAGAAATGTGACACAACTTGCCCAAGGTAATACAACAAGTTAATGGCAATAAAGGGGCCACAATCTAGGTTTCCACAGCTTAATTTAGACATTATAGTTTACCATACCAGTTACAATTTTGTTTTAGTGGTATTTTGGGGTAGCTAACACTGTGCTAGCCATCTTTGGAACAAGGGTCAGTGTGGGCCAAAGTCTGTAAACAGACAGTCTTGGGAGGGTTCTGGCTGGGCTTGGGTCTTCGAATAGGGTGCTCTTGCTACTGTTTCAGGTATACCCTGCAAACATTCAGTTTGCTTTGCCATTAGGTCTCCTGTTGGGAGTTTTGAGACTCCCTGTCCTCCATTGTAAAAAAACATGGTGCATAGTTGGGAAGCCAGGGGGAGTGAGCCCTTCTCCTGTTGTCATGGAGGAAGTCTTCAAAAGCTGCAAGCACAGCACAGCAGCCAATATGCCACCCACCTACCTTGGGGCTGTCCATCTGCTCTACAACTGGAGAAACTGGGTGGAGACTTGAGTTCTGGGCGTTCACATGGGGCCCTGCTGCAGTCACGGTCATTCGCAGACCTGGGCAGAGTGGGCTGTACTTTGGAATAGTCTCCGGTCACTGGTGCCTCTTCGGCTGGGGTGCATTGGGTGACGCGGCTACCCAGTTTAGCTCCTCATTCTGTTCTCCTTCCTCCCTGGGAGAGGGGGCAGCCTTTAGAAGAAAGCTGGGCAAGGAGTGCTGCGGGGCTAGGAGCAGCCGACCAACAGTCCTTCACCACCTCTCACCCTCTTTTGGTCAGCCCAGCTGTAACATTTGAATTCTGCAAACTCTCGGGTCCAGTGTGTGTGTGTGGGGGGGGGGGGGGTGATGTCTGGCATTTCAAAGCTATGGAAAGGATTTCTTTAGGGAGGAATTTCTCATTCATCCCTCTCTTCATTCATTCAACAAACATTACTTGAACCCCTACTGCATTCCAGTAACTGTATATAAAATCATTGCATATACAGAAGAAAACTGGCAATTCAGCTTAAGGAATGTAAGCAAAGGACCGAGCAAAGGGAACTTCCTTTAGTGAGTCTTCTAAACTTTCCAGGACTCATTTCTTCATGGGGCATATGTTTTGTCAGCATCAGCATCATATGCTCGGGACCTTCCTAAAATCCAGTTTTCTGATCTCAAATGTTTCTGTTCTGTTTTATAACAAAGAAGAAGCATTTCTGCCTTCTGCATTCCTGCTACTTTACCTCCCAGAGAGGCTTTCCTGAGGAGTGTGTGTGGTTGGTTTTCTGGGGGTTTTTGAGTTCTGAGGCCTCATTTGCTCATGCTACCCCTTAAGGAAAATCTGCCGGGGGATAATGTGGTCACCATTTGGACTTTGCTTCAGGCCTGCAATGGGGTCTGTTATATTGTTCATAATTAAGCTGGTATCAGAGTTGGGAGGGGGGGGGTCTGTGTTCCAGCTTCTTCTCCATAATGTCAGCACATTGCATAGAAAGAGAAACTCTATGTCGTTTATAAACTACCAACAATCTGTTTCCCTCAATGAGGAGGTGACACCCACAAGAAAGCTAAATAAACGGAGGGGAGAATTCAGTGTAATTTATTATCCGTGCAGCAAAGATAGAGGACAAGAGGAGAGGAAGTGAATGGTGGTGCCTGAAACAAAACATTTACCATGGAGCACAGAGTAAACAGATGTCGCATTTACCCCTCTGAGTACAAAAGGAGCCCACAGATGTAATTCTTCTCCAACCACAATCTCAGCCTGGAAGAAGAGGAGACAGATGAAAATGAACTCTCACGAGGGGCCCCTTCTCTCTGTGCTGCCTAAAGGCAGGCAGAGGCCTACTTCTCACCCACGGCGAGGTGGTGGCCCAAACAGCAGAGTGGGGCAAGAGTGGACATCTTTGGTTTTTCACTTGGCTCCGGAACATGCTGGAGACTGCTGTATTTAAATAAACATTTCCTGTTTGCGAAGGAAAACGGGTGAAAGGCTGAAACGTGAGAATGTGGTAACTTAATTTTCTCCATCACTCCAGATGATGGCAAGCTTCGCCGGTGGTTGCGTCCAATAAAAACCAACACCGTGTCACAGGCTTTCCCTCACTTGACCACAGAGGTCTCCAGGTCAAGTGGGAGGCTTTCCAAGATGCTCTGTGGCCAGGCCCTGCATCCTGGTATTCCTAGCCTCAGGGCCAGCCCAGTGGACTAGGGGCAGTTTGGTGAATCCTGGGGCCTCTCTGAGCACAGTGCTCTCCTGGTGAACCTGTGGGTTGGACACGAGCAGTTAAGTGCACCTGCCTCCAGTGTACTGTGCAGCTGAACAGATTGCTCTACCTTTCGGGGCTTATTTTCCTGAAAGCAGAATTCTCGTGTAGTCCTAATAGTTTTCCTTGTATGGGCCTCTTCCCCTGTGCCTAGAACAGTGCCTGGCACATAGTAGTTTTTCAACCAGTATGTGTTGACTAAATGAATACATCTCAAAAATACAAGTTTTTCTTTAGTTCTTGCACGTGAAAGATGGGCAGTTAGAGCTTTGCATTTTTTACGTATGGCCAAGGGCAACTTACTAGTAACCTATTACATGAGTTATTAAGGGTTCCTGAAATTTAGCTTTCATGAACTAAAATTATTGCCTTACTAGAGTTAGCAAGGACTCCTAATGAGTGACACAACTCTGGAGTCTGGTTGCCAGGCATTGCTTAGCAACCTTGCAAAACTCCTACTGTGCACATGCCCCTGAGAAGAGCTAGAAATCCCAAACACTTAAACTGTAGGCCTTTCTAATCAGGAACTCATCAGCATCATCCTGCGCTCTCTGTGGTTTTTGATTGCTGCTCTTCTTGTATTAATTGATGTATTTGTAGGATCATTATTAGGTTTTGCTTTTGCGGATCATCTGGGTCTTGTATATTTCTGCATTTTTTTGCATTTTAACAGTTATTTTGTTTCTCTCTGGTTCTGTTTGTTGTCACTGAGTTCGTCCTCCCCTGGAAAGTGAGAATGGTAGATCTGAGAGCCGTGGAGTCTTTTCCACTGACTAAGTGGACTACATGGGCCGTGGCAAGGTTTCAGAACCCTGTGCCTATTAGTTCAGGGTGTCAGCTCTGGAGGCAGAAGGCTCTGGTTTGAATTCTGGCTCTGTTACATCTTTGCTGTTGCACCCTGGGTGGGTTACTCCACTTCTCTGGGCTGCAGTCTGTTTACTCCCTTTGTACTGTATTTCCACAGCTGTACTACAGGGATGATGATCACTCTGGTCCCCTGTGTGCATGTTGTGAATGTGGCCTGAGACGTCACATCATACACTCAGCACAGTGCTTGGCACTTCGATTCTCCAGCTACCTCTCCTTACTTGGAAAGTATGCATAGTAAATGTTCCTCTTGGGGAATCAAATGAAATAATGGACAGGAAGTGCTTAACACAGTACCTGGCACTTAGGCCTCCATCAGCCATTAATGGTAGTGACCATGGCCGTTATTTCTATGGCTTCATCTCAGGCCCCATCCAGCTGGAAAGCTTGAGATGCCCACTCTAAATGTACCCCATGGAGGCAAGGTCTTCGCTAGCACGTAGGCTGTGCCCAGCACGCTTGTGCCTGGTCCCCCTCCCCCTTCCTCTCCAGTTAAGCCCAGGTTGGCCTCCGTTCCATAAAAAGGGGATTACAG